GAGGGTGATTGGCTAGGGGGACCCCACCGCCCATGGGGGTGGGTGGCCGATTGGGGGCGGGGCCGGCCGTGAGAAGGGGCGGTGGGCCAACAGGCCCTGCCCCAAATGGGGTGGGGGCACCGATATGGGGTCAGCAGCCAGGGGAGGGGCCGTGGGAGGTTGGCCGGCCAGCCCCACCCCCAATTGGTGTGGGGGAGGGGCGATCAGGGGCAGAACTGGCTGGGGGGAGGGGCCGTGGTCCCATTGGTGTGGTGGGGGCCAGCTGGGGGGAGGCGCTGCATGCCATTGGCCAGCCAGCCCACCCCCTATTGGGGTAGGGGGGGCAATCAGGGGCACAGCTGACCAGGGGAGGGGTAGAGGAGGGGGTGGCCAGCACCCCGCCCTTGATTGGAGTGGGAAAGGCTGATCAGGGCCAGCTCAGGGGGAGGGGCCCAGGGAGGTTGGCTGGCCAGCCCCATCCCCCATCAGGTGGGTTCGCTATCCGCAGAGGGCATCATAGTGACCGGTTGTTATGGTGTTACAGTCGCTGGCTTTTTATGTACGTATATAGATAATAGAGTTTCTATTATTGGATTAAATAATGTATTGAATAAAGAGTTTGTGGTGCTCTGAACTAGCCTAGCATTGTAATAATTAGCATAGCTTGATACCTTCCCCGCGCAAGGCTTTGTTTAGAGAGGATCCCAATTACTTCTCCCAATAAACCAGCGGCATAGGCGCCACAGTGATCTCCATCCTACGTGAGAGGAACCGAGTCACAGGTGGCTTGGCCCCAGCTTCGGCCGGAGGCGGGCAGCAGCAGGGAGGGCTTCCCAGCTGGGAGGTCTCCCACAGCCCTGAGTCTGACCCTGAGTCTGACCGCTTCACCGGAACATCCTGTTCCCAGCAGCAAACCTACCCCCAATTCCCAGGCGTGCTTTCACTCATTGTCGGCATTTTATTTAGGCCCTTAATAAGCTGGTGGGGAATTAGATTCTTTTGTCATTTTCTCTGACGTTTGTGCGCAGGGGGATGTAGTCACCTCAATATAAGAACTATATGTAAATCGGTTTGTTGGGGATTATTTGGATTAAAACGTTACCCCAAAAAATATACTGAATTGCAAAAGGACGGTCCTTGTGACGTCATTGGTCTATTCAAACCCTCTCAGATCTTCACGTGTCTCGGGCAGTTTACATGTCTGCTCTCACTCACCCACACAGAGTTACGGAGGAGGCGGCGTTACCATCCCCGCTTCAAACGTGAAGAAACTGGCCCAGGAAGGACAAGAAGTGCTGCCCAGAGCTGCACGCCTACCTGCACGCCTGCCGTGGTGCTAGGTCAGGGGCCCCTCCTCTGCCCTGTGCCGGGAGGTCAGGCAGGCCTCGCGGGGAGGAGACCGCACTCCCGTGGCTGTGCCCGAGCTCTGCGGGACAGTCCGGCCCCCGGACTGCGACTGCTCAGGGCTGCCCACTCCCGGAACTTGTCATGGGGGGTGGCGCTCACCCCGGAGCAGAGTGGGACCGGCAAGCTGGTGTCTGCACACGAGCAAGGGAAGCACAGAAACAAGCCCGTGACCCACCCAGTTCCTCACACAAGGACCCCTTTCCTCACTGTCCTCGGTGGCTCTTACCCCTTGAAGGCTCATGTGCTTCACCCCGCCCTCTGCCTGGAGGGACAAGTCCTACCCATTGGTTCCCTTTCTGGAACCGGCCACACCCAGGGATGCAGGGGCTGTCCTGCTCATGACTCTAATAGTTGAGGAGGGAGGCCCACGGAGTGCACGCTGCTCCTTCTGCGAATCTCTCGGCCAGGCCTCCCCCACCACCACCACCACCCCCACCCCGGGAACCAGGATGGTGGCCCCGCAGGCCGCTGGGGCCCCCTGCATGGCCGCTCTGCTGATGCCCTTGGTGATGCTGAGCTCCCCATGGGCTCAGGGCAGAGACACCCCAGGTAAGTGCAGAGCCGCTGCTCTTGGGGGGGCCTGGCTCAGGGGAATGACGCGGGGGGGGGCGTGTATATCCCATGTGGGCCCAACCCACAGAGAGGCTCTGAGGGCCGACATCACCCAGGGGCCACATTTCCCACCAGAGAGAGAAGAGAGCAGGGTGTGTGCCTGCTGGACACAACGCGCCTGGCGGCCAGGAATGGCTTTGGGGGGACAAGGCTCTCACGGAGGGGTCAGGGTGACGTTCCAGAACCACGCTACTCTGCAGTGTCCGGGTCCCACAGCCAACTGTGCCCCAGGCAGAGGCCCTTCCACAGAACCAGGCGACCCGGGCCAGAGAGGAAGTGGGAAGCAGGAAATGGCCCCTTTTGTTCCCGTTTCCCCCCAAGCCCAGGCACGCAGAACAGGGAACAGACCATGAAGTCGTTTATGTTAGAATTCCCCAACCTCTCCATCTCCGCCCAGAAAGCCAGTCCCACTTCTCTCTGAGACTCAGGTTCCCTCCAGCGTCTTTCCCAGCTTCTAGGGTTAATAGCATTTAAAACTCCCAAGGTCATCTGCTCAAACCCCATCCCGTTGCACCCATGTCTCAGAAGGAAGATTTCTGACACTCACCACTCAGGGGGGCAGAGAACTGGACGGGCAGCTCAGCTGTGGGGCTGTGCCTGCAGGTGAGAGGAGAATGGAGGAGCGTGAGTCAGAGAGCAGGGGCCATGGGAGCGGCTGGGAGATGGGACAGTGTCGGCAGGAGGTGAGAGGGGAGGCCGTGCAGGAGGCACAGAGGTCTCTGGGAGCGGGGACAGCGGGACAGCGGAGAGAGTGCATTGCAGTCAGGGCGGGGCTTCTTTGGGGTGAGCAGTGAGCAGCCTGCAGGGTGGAGGTGGAGAAGCCAAGGCGATCTGATCAGTGAGAGGCATGAGATGAGCGTTCGCTGTGTGAGAGGCGCTGGGGGAGGCGACGGGGTCCAGAGCTCTCCGCACCAATCGATGCTGAGGAACTCGCTGCGGGTGAAATGTGGGGTCCAGGCGCCAGGCTCCAGTGGGCTGGACAGAGCCCTCCGTTTCCTTCTTCCTCCGACCCCCCAGGGTGTCTGCACCTTCCCCCAGAGCAAGGAAAGAGGAGGTGAAACAGAGAGACGTCAGCATCGCGTTAATAACGCTCCTTTGTGAGCTTCAGGCTGGGCCCTTTGAGTCATTCTGAACAAGCAGGTTTCTCTTGTCTCCACAGACATCACAGCTTGAAGGGGGAAGGGCTCTGGCCTCCAGTGAGCGGACAACACTGCGCTCTAGGCTTCCTTGACATCATCTGATGTCATTTTAGTTGTAGTCCTTCCAGATAAACCAAAAGATAGAACATTCCTTTTGGGGTGAACAGGTTGGGACTCCATTGTCCCGGGCACACAGCTGGCCGCGGCACCCTCGCTGTGCTGCCTTCCTCAGACCCCGGCGTCATCACAGGTTCTTAATATGGCCCGTTCCGAAAAGACGGCTTACCTTACAGAAGTTGTCAGGCTTTACTCTAGAAAGTTCGGATGTTTCCAAGAGTTTCACAAACTCTGATATGTTTCACATACACACAAAAAAGCGGTTTTGAGAGACCCTTGTGTGACAGTTCCCTGCTTTGCAAATTAGATTTCATGAGGGAGAGAAAAGTCAATTGCTTTTAAAAAGAAAAAAATTCAAACCACTACCCAAGACCGACAGAAATGTGCCCTGATTGGAAACCAGGTGGGAGCCCTATCAGTGGGACAGGAAACGGAGTTAGACGCGGGAGTGGAGCAGGGAGCCAGGTGAAGACATGCCACAGAGACCCCAGCCTGGATGGGCCCGGGACTCAGAGGCTGAGGGCAGGCACTGGGCAAGGAGGCAGCCTCAGGCGGTCGGAGAGGAATGAGCGCAGCTGGAACCCCGTGGGCTAACAGTGAGGTGTCCCCGAGGCTGGTGTGGTGGCTCCGGACCCCAGCTTCAAGTTGGGGCGCGGGGAACACTGGGAAAGACAGGGACGCTGACAGATCACCCAGATCAACCCTGGCCAGCTCTGCAGTGACAGAGACAATGGAGGGCCCCTCACACCCTCCTCCTGCTGCTCCTGGAACCTCAAGGTTCCTTGACAGCCACTTGGGGAGGCTCCTGAGCCACCTGGAGCCTGGGCTCCCTGAGCTCAGCCCTGACCTGACGTGGTGAGCCTCGGGTTGACATACTCTTCTGAGTCTTTCCTTCTGCCTCTGGGCGGCATCACCCTCATTTCTGTGGCCTGGGAAGTTCTGTGATAAAGTCCACCTGCAGTTTCCACTTCTGATACATTTTAAGTCATATAGAGAAGCTGCACCCTAAGACTCCTTCAGTAGACATCCCCCAATTGGACTGCAGGCAGCCAGCCATTTATAATCAGTTGTCTGGCCAAGGCATGAGCAAGAAGAGCAAAGATGGAGGTATCACACTTCCGATTTCAAAATATATCACAAAGCTACAATAACCAAAACAGTATGGTACCAGCACAAAAACAAACATATAGACCCATAGAAAGAAATGGAGAACTCAGAAATAATCTACACATCTACAGTCAGTTGATATCAACAAGAGCCAAGAACACACAGTGGGGAAATGACAGTCTCTGTATCCACCGCAGAAAAACATGAAATGATCCCTTACCTCTCACCATATGCAAACATCAACTCATAATGGGCTAAAGACCTAAATGTCAGATCTGAAACCATAAAACTCCTAGAAGAAAACATAGAGTTAAAGCTTCTTGACATTGGTCTGGGCAATGATTTTTGGATATGACACTATCTCCATTTTAGATATTGTGAGTCTATTTCTATTCCCTGTCTACTAACTTATTCGTGATACCCTCTGCTTAACAGAAGTATTAAATTTTAATGTAATGCATTTTATTATATTTTCCCCTTATTCTATATAATAAATGGCTAATATGCAAATTGACTGAACAGTGGAATGACTGGTCAGTGTGCCTCCAGAGGGGGAGCTCTGCTCAGCCGGAAGCCGGGCTCATGGCTGGAGGGTGCAGCAGTGGTGGCGGGAGCCTCTCCTGCCTCTGTGGCAGCACTAAGGATGGCTGACATTCCCGAGGGCTCCCGCACTGTGAGAGGGCGCAGGTGGGGCTGAGGGACACCCCCCTCCCAGTGCATGAATTTCATGCACTGGGCCTCTAGTGTTCTTATATTTGCTTAAGAAATGCTTCCTCGCCCCATTTTCATAATTGTATTCTCCTGTACCTTCTTATATTTACCGTAGAGTTTACTATTTATGTTTAGATTTTTAATCCTTCTGGGGTCCAAGTTTTTATGTTAAATGCAGATCTAGATTTTTTTCCCTTCTTATCTAAGCCAGTTTCCTCAACCCCATCTGCTGAGGGACTCCCTTTGTGGTGTATTAAATCCCATATGCTCATAAACTCTGAGCCTCTATTTGGTTTCAGATCACTATTGGTAAACTTTGTGATTATGTAGGATTTCTTTATTTATTTTATTTTTTTAGAAAGGGTGATAGAAACATCAATGATGAGAGAGAATCATTGATTAGCTGCCTTCTGCACACCCCCTACTGGGGATTGAGCAGCCGGGTGGGCAGCGTGTCTGGCGGCACCGGGCAGCCCGCTCAGCCCGCCTGGTCCTTCTCGCTCTCAGCGGTCCACGTGTATCAGAGGAGGAGCGACTGCTACGAGTCCAACGGGACACACCGCTTCCTGGAGCGATATGTTTACAACAGAGACGTGTTCGTGCAGTTCGACAGCACCGTGGGCGTGTTTGTGGCTGTGACCGAGCTCGGGCGCTGGACCGCCAGGAACTGGAACATCCAGAGGGAGTTCCTGGAGCTGCGGCGGGGCGCCGTGGACGCGGTGTGCAGACACAACTACGAGCTGGACAGGGCCTTCACCCTGGAGCGCAGAGGTGGGCGGGCGGGGAAGGGGAGGCCGGCAGGGTGGGCTTGGGGCGGAGAAGGGGGTGCTCTCTCTCCCATCTCCAAGCCCAGCCGTCCCAGGGTGGGTGGCCGGATCCCAGAGGGCTTAAGCGGGCGCAGGGGCCACACCACATGGGAAAGGGCAGGCTCCCTGTTAATGCAACACGAAAGAGCTGAGAACAGGGGTTTGTGGATCTTGCTGGAAACTTTCCTTGGCTGAGGTGGCCGGGAGACATAGAGGTTAAATGAAAGACGAGTCAAGGTACTTCCATTCCTCACCTCTTTTTAACGAGGACACCAGACTGATAGATCAAAGAAATGCTGCTGACTGGATATATTCTGATTCCAAGGTAATATCTGGAAGGAGTGTCCATCCTTTTGAACAAGATGGGAAAATGTAAATTTAGGTAGTTTCATAGCCGGTTCAACGTTTCTGTTGAAAACATTAGTTACTACGTCCTCTGTTCCTGGAGGAAGTGCCAAATGTGACCCTCTCCTGTTCGCTGCTCTTTCTTTATCGTGGATGACAAGGTCGTCCTTGGAACATTGCAATGTTTTATTGTTTTTCCTGCACAGTTCCCCGTCTTCTGCCTCCAAATAGCTTAACAGATGACATATTTACATTAACCTCTAGAAGTCAGTTTGCAAGAAATTTGCTAAATGCACTGCGTTAACTGTCTCCGCTGTCACAACAAGATTCTTTTTCCCGCTCCCAGTCCAGCCTAAAGTGAACGTGTCCCCCTCCAAGAAGGGGCCCCTGCAGCACCCCGACCTGCTTGTCTGCCACGTGACCGATTTCTACCCCGGCCACGTTCAAGTCCGCTGGTTCCTGAATGGACAGGAGGAAACGGCGGGGGTCGTGTCCACCAACCTGATCCACAACGGGGACTGGACCTTCCAGATCCTGGTGATGCTGGAAATGACCCCCCAGCAGGGGGATGTCTACACCTGCCGCGTGGAGCACCCCAGCCTGGACAGTGCTGTCACTGTGGAGTGGAGTGAGTTACTCCCTGATGACCCTCTGGGCTCCAGGCTCTGGGAGCCACTCACTACCCACCGGGGTCACACCACCCCGTGTGTCCTCACCAACCCCCTAACTGTAGTCTAGGCTGGGAGCAGCAGGGATCTGGCTGCATTTATCCCTGCCCAGGGGCGGGGGTGGGGTGGGGGTGGGTCCTAAAGAGCCTGTCCTTGTCAGGAAAGCAATCACCTTCACGTCTGGCCCTCAGCCTGGGACCTGGCCTCTCCCTCTGTCCCCCTTCAGTCCCTTTGCTTGGACTTCACGGGTTGACCTGAAACCAGCATTTGCCTCCTGTGGACGTCACCAGTATGAGCCCCAGAACTTTGGGGTGTTTTCCACATGTACTCCTTCCCCACGGTGGCTCCAAGCTCCGCCTGTCCTCCCGCTTCCCTCCACGGCGCTCTGGATCAGGCTCCAGGTGGGGGAGGGGGCGTTGCAGCAGGTGGAGGGGAGACTGACCCTGGGTCTGTTCTTCCCAGAGGCTCAGTCAGATTCCGCCCGGAGCAAGATGCTGACTGGAGTGGGGGGCTTTGTGCTGGGGCTCCTGGCCCTCGCGGTGAGCGTCACTCTCCATTTCAGAGGCCAGTGAGGTAAGAACCTCTGGAAAGTGGTAGATATTGCCCTTCCCCTGTCTCATCCGGTGATGAAGTTGAGGCAGAAAAGCAAAATGACAGAGCGAACGAGGCCACTGAAATCAGATTCTGGTCAGGCCATGAGCGCCGTGCGGACAGGAAGATGCCTTGATTGAGATCTCGGCCCAGCAGCACGCCTGAGGCTGCTGACTATTGCCCTATCCTGCAGGCTGTTCCTTTAAGCCTGGGGTCAGCTTCAGTCTACAAATTGGGCCCTGCTTTCATTCCCAGTGATGTGGGCGTAGGATGCAAATGTTTGTATACCTTTCTAAGATGGTATTGCTCTTTACTTTCTCAATTACTACATTCAACTTCCCTTTCATTCATTTCAGGACGACAAAGACCTCAGCCAATAGGTGGTATTTCTGCTCCCTTCCTCCTTCTTGGGGTGCAATCCATTTCATTGCACATGAGTTTGGGAGCATTTAATGAGCATCTGTGTTCAGGGTGTGTCCTAGGAAGTGCCCTTGGCCTGGGAGGAACTCTCGGAGGCTGTCCCTGCTTCTCAAGTTGAGCCAGTTGCCCCCAACTCCTGGTCCATGTCCACCTGTGGGCGGGTGTGAGCACTGAGCTTTGCCCCAGTGCTGAAGGAAACCTCAGGAACTCCCTTCCATTGCTCACCAGACCAACACTCAGACTCTCTCTGGATTTTTTTCTGTCCTGGGACTCTGGAGGGAAAGGGATGTAGCCCTGAGCTCGGTTGTCTTTCATTCCTCTCCTTCTTCCCAGGGCTGCGGAGCTGATCGCAAGCATCCTGTAGCCTTGGGACAGGATTTCTGATGCTTCTGATGCCCAGAAACCTCCCCGCTCCAAAAGGACATCGCAACGGAATCGTGCCCCTGACGCCAGTCTCCGAGTCCCTGCACTTTACTTCAATGTGCTGCCTCTTTCTCAAGTTCCCCAGTCTACTGGGTGCCCTTTCCTGGGGAACATAAACCACCTAAATCCATCATCATTGTCCTCCTTTCTTCTTGACAGGAAGGCCTGGTCATGTGGCCATGTTTATGCCTCAAGGGCTTGGTGACCATTGCGTCCAGTGAAGAGCCTGGGATGTCACTGTCTTTTCCCCAGGCATGGAGAAATAAGTTTCTTGGTGGTAATCAATTCTTCTTATTGAATAGGAGGGCAACCGATAGCAAACCTCCTGAAATTTGCTTTATTTCATTGTTGTACCCAAGTTCATGTTGTACTCTTACCAGGGAGGCATGGAACCATTACTCCTAGTAATCCCTGGTGGAACTGAGCCTGAATTTTTTAAAAATATCTTTTATTGATATTTTTAGAGAGAGGGAAAGGAAGAAAGAGAGAGAGAGAGAGAGAGAAATGTCGACATGAGAGAGATACATTGATCAGTTGCCTCCCGTATAAACCCCAGCCAAGGATGGAAACCGCAACCCGGGCACATGCCCTGACGGGGAATCAAACTGGCGACCTTTTGGTGCACGGGAGGACGCTCAATGAACTGAGTCACGCCAGCCAGGGCTGAGCCTGAATCTGCTACTGAAATTCATACAGGACAAAGCATGTCAATCACTAAGAATGTTTTCCAAGTTTAACAATCACCATAGATCAGGATTATAAATAACAGGCATAAGAGAATAACATTATAGTTATTTTTTATATTGTCATTTGCATCAGCTTATGGGAGCAGACGTCCCATAACTCTGTGTTCATCGGATCACCTTACACTCCTTCTGAGTCAGTCAGGAGGAAGTACATCTCCGGCTTCAAAAGGTCAAAGATACGTGTATATCAGTTTTTCAGACATAGGCCTGGTTTAGAGTACAGTCATTAGGGTTTTTGTTAATCATTTTAATGAATATTTAAGACCAAGAAAGAAGTCATATTTGCTTCTGTCATTTCATCGAACTGCGACATCCTAGTTCATAGGTCGATGCTCAACCACGGAACCATGGCTAAAACGCTCTTTAAAACGGGAGAGTATTAAATAGGTCCTATCTCCACCTAGAGGCCGACAGTGGGATCTGGACTTGGAACAAACCAGAAGGTAACTTGTCAACACTGGGAATACTCCAACATTCTTAGTGAAGGGGTTAGGCAGCCGTGGGCAAACTACGGCCCACGGGCCGGATCCGGCCCGTTTGAAATGAATAAAACTAAAAAAAAAAAGACCGTACCCTTTTATGTAATGATGTTTACTTTGAATTTATATTAGTTCACACAAACACTCCATCCATGCTTTTGTTCCGGCCCTCCGGTCCAGTTTAAGAACCCATTGTGGCCCTCGAGTCAAAAAGTTTGCCCACCCTTGGGTTAGAGTAACAGGAAGGCATACACAAGTACGTGGTCAAAGCAAATGTGGCCAGATGTGGCGGCTGTGGCAGCACCACGCCACCGATATCACTTTGGTTCATTCCCATTGGACGGCTATTGTGTTGGCTGCTGTCATTTTTTTTACTTGACAACCTAAGGGAAAAGAGGTCAGTGCCCCTGTATAGTCAGGTGCTGCATGTTTTAAAAGTTCTTGTGGCACACCAGTTGAAAATCGCTGATCAAGACAAATCCAGTAAACAGGAAAGGGGGTTTTTATCAATAAAAACAAAACCTTCCACAAAGACACAATCAGGGTCCACTTATCTATTAGGCATAGTAGACGCTGTGCATAGGACCCACAATATTTTTTGGGTTCATAAAAATGTTACATTTCTTTTAAAAGAAACTTTTAGGTTGAAAAAATTAATTTATAATATTAATATACTATCTATAACCAACATAGTCATAAAATATACTTTTGAATTTTTTAGGAAAGTGTCCAGAAAAGACAAAAATGCTTAGGGTCCACAGAAGTCAGAATGCATCCCTGGATATGAGGGTCATGAACATTTATGTACTGAAGAGCAAAGCAGCAAGTCACAAGCTAGTAGAGGTGCTGGACTTCAGGGATAGAGAGCTCATGACATGGTGGTTACAACAGCTGAACATGACTTTGGGCCGCCCCCTGGGGAGAGGGGGTGGGGGAGTGCACGTGTGGTCATGAAGAGGCTGCTGGTCAAATGCATAGAGAGGATAGACGCAGACGCCTCTTGGTGTATCTCAGCAACACACCTTATGCCCCCAACACTTCTCTACCCTCCCCCATGCTTCGTACATCCTGTATATGTACATATATCTCACTGGGCCCCCAACCACGGAAAGTGGGCTCGTGGGTTCTCAGGGAGACAGCTGACCCAACAGCTAAACCAACCAGATTGGGCCTCCAGCAATCTGAGCCTTGGCGCCCAGAGATTGAGAGCAGATCAGCCGGTGGTGGTCCTGGCCCTGCTCCAGGGAAAAGTCTATAAAGAAGCCATGAGGTCCCAGAACTGTCTTTGCTTTTCCCAGTAGAGCCAATCCTTCCTCCAAATCCTGAGTACCCCAATATTTCATAATACATTCCCTTGGAACTTAAACTGTTCTGAATCAGATTTTTGTAAGAAAAATCTGTAACAAAACGGATTACAAACAGCTGTTTGTAACAAAAACTCAAAAAGCATGGGCTTTTGGCAGCACTGAGATCAGGAGGTAAGGGGAGCTCTGGGCCAGGCGCCAGTGTCGCAGTAACCAGGCAGCCTGGCGGTTCCCTCCCTTGTCTTTCCAGGGCAAAGGTGTCATTAGCGGGAATTAGTCCCTTATATTCTACAGATGAGAAAACTGATGCTCAGATTCAGCAGCTCAGTTAGAAGCAGAGCACCACTGGAAGCTAAATGAGGGAGAAGCCCTTACGAGGAATACAGAGAGGTCTCCTGCCAGCCGCTGTCCGCGCCACCGCCAGCCCCATGGCTGCTCAGCCAGGCCGTCTGCCTCTGCAGGCTTTGCTGTCTGACTGCCAGGGCTCCAGTTAAACATGGCACCGCCTCCCACCTTCTCCCGAACCCTAATATCTCCGAAACATGTTTCTTAGTTTTTAGTTGCAGTTATAAGAACTCTCTAACAGCACTAGTAATATGGTCTACCTCATTCAGTGAGAAGGATTAACCCGCTCCAGCAACGTAGCCCAGGGCCTGCGGAGACGCACACACAGGGATAGAGAGCCATGAGCCACATACTTTGGCCCGAGTCTCTGTGGAATCCCAGCTCTTCCAGATGCAGCGGTGAGACCTGGAACGGAACATTTGCTCCGGCTGCCACAGTGTCCAGCGTGGCTTTTACCTTTATGCTTTGGAAGACCGCCCATTTTTCCTCAGAATCAAAATACTTCAGCGCGAAAGCAAGATGTTGCTAACAGAAAGAGAGGCCAGAACAGTGAACAAAATGGAACGCTGTGGTCCAGCCAACTGAGGGACATGGTGCGGTGGCTGGCGCTCCCCTGGGCTGATGCATCCTGGCTGTTTGGGGGTAGCCCTAAGGAGGTGCCCCATAGGTGTCCCTGGTCTTCATTCAAGGGCTAGGGGGACAGGTCTTCACCATTGAGCTGGCACTCTGCTGGCAATGCCAGTTCCCACGAAACTACCCGGGATATCAGTGCAAGCGCCCAGGGCGGCTGCCCACTCCAGCGGGTTTGAATGGGGAACATGCTCACGCCCGTGAACTGCGCACTGGCCAGGGAGCAGCTCGGCTGGGCCCGACACTGCCTGCTGGCCACACCGAACGGGCAGGAAGAGGGCAGCAAACCCCAAACTGGGTCGCCACCCCTTCCACGCAGGAACTTCTTTCTGAGGCAGCCAGAGCCCTGCTTTGACCCCCTCCCTTCCCCGTCTCATCTCCACCCCACATCTGACCTGACCATTCATAACTGCAAATCCAGCAAAGGCGTGGCCAAAGGAGGGGAGGAGGGATAGGGAGCCCAGGGCCTTCTGGGATATGCAGTGTTCCCAGGTACCGAGATCTAAGTGGCCCAAATTTTACAAGTTGTTTTTGGCCATAAGTCACAGAGGCCAAAAGGATCGGCCCAAGTCTGAGAAGTAGCTCCAAGGGCGCCACAGGCTAGAGCAGTGGTCCGCAAACCGCGGCTCTTTGGCCCCTTGAGTGTGGCTCTTCCACAAAATACCACGTGTGGGCACACACGTACAGGGAACGCTGTGGAGTGAAAGAAGATGTAGTGTTGAGGACTGAGAAAGGTATGTTGAGATGGTTTGGACATATAGAGAGGATGAACGAAAGGAGAGAGACGGAACAAGACGAGTGTGGATGGGAGAGTTGGAAGGGGTCGACCTCAGCGAACCTACCTCAATCAGATTGAGGACGTTTTTAGCAAAGGCCAGCTTAGAGTTCC